TGCTTCCTTTTCAATTTCATTGAAGAGTTTAAACAGTAGTGGCAGTAGTTCCTCTCTAAATGTCTTGTAGAAATCAGCAGTGAAGCCATCAGGACCTAGGCTTTTCTTAGTTGGTAAGTTTTTAATTACATTTTCGATTTCATTGATTGATATTGGATCGTATAGAATTTTTAGATCATCTTCATTCAACTTTGTTAATTCATATGTATGTAGGAATTTGTCCATTTCTTCTGTATTTCCATCTAATTGGCATATAGGGCCTCAAAGTAGGTATTGATTATACTCTGTATTTCTGCCGGGTCCATTGTAATTTCACCCTTTTCATTCCTGAAAAGGCCCAAATCCAGGCAATTAGGAATGAAAAGGGTGAAGTTACAATGGACTAGGGAGAAAATTGAATGTCATTAATTGATCAAAAGCTTGAATTGTGCTATTTCAGCTGTGATACACCTCGTGTGGTCATATCATCATATGGTGAAATTATTATTGGAATGAATTATTTTTCTTTATCTCTAATTTTTGATGATACAGAGATGGTAGGTATAAATTATATTTTAGAAGTGTACAGTTACATGTTTTAATTATTCCCCAAGACCATTATTCAAATAATTTGCAAAACAAATAATGAGACCGAGCATCATGATATATTTAATTTGTTGCAGAAAAAATTATTTTTTCCTAGGTGTTTAATACATATTTGTTTGGTGTACAAATTAATATTTCCATTATGGTTGCTAGCTTTAATCTGGCCCCATGAACATTTTTCTTTGAGTGTATTAAGAATTTTAAAATTACCGTTAGACTTAATAGTCAAACATTATCTGCTCATCCAAAATATTTTGTCATTTTCTTTAATACCTGTATTTTAGAATGATGTGATTTAGTACTTTGCAATTTAAAAATCATGTTTAAAATCAAACTATGATAGATGAGAGTGAGCTTGTTTCTTTTGAATTTGTGCAATAACTGCTTGCACATAGAATTTTTAAATTCTAAACCATAGTGTTCCCTGTATTGATATAGAAGGTGTCAAGTCCTTGTGAAGAACACCATTCATGTGTATTTGGGAACAGTTAGAACATATAAAGGTACCTGAGAAATGCATCGCTCTTATTTTTGAGCCAAGCAAATTCGTCAACCAAATCAGGTAGATATTATTTATTTACCAGCAGCACTTTAGCACAATGTTAAATAATAAAATTTTATAGACCAAAGTCCATACTTGAAACCTAAACTGCTCAGATTCATGTTGTAATTGAAGCATGTATATACAGCATCTTAGAATTTAGCTGTGTCATGATGGTTATGAGTTTTACAGTAGATACACTACACACTTTCTCCAAAGCTGTGTTTTTCTGTGTGCAGTTTATCTTGAAAGATGTATTAGTTTGCCAAGCAAGTCCTTCAAGAGGAATATCTTTGTACCATACTGAGGAAATGAAGTTCGGGGTCATAAAAAGCAATATACCTTCTGAACTAAAGGCAAAATAGAAAGTGGAAAATATTTCTTGTTTATGCACATAACCTTAAGTAATTCTGGGGCTGTGTGTATATGAATTCACGTAGCCCTCTTATATACGCTTATACTTAGCTGCATGTCTGGGGTGGGGGGATTGTGAAGGATATTACAAAGCAGTTTATACTGTGTAAATTATCTAAAACTTTCCCAATCAGGATTTATCAAAGTGTAGATAATCTCACTTTAAGGAAAATATTTTTGAATCAATATTATACTTTAATGTTTTAATAAGTTATACTTTGTAGTGGTAAGAACATTATCTTATATGAAGTAGACAGTAAATAAATGTTTATTTATTTGAATTACAGGGTACTTATTAAGTATAAGACTGAGGTTAAAATATAGCATATTTTGGAACTGAAAAAGATTCATTAATACACTGCAAATTTAAATTTTTGTGCGTGAATATATGTAAATACTTTTTAACCCTTAAACACATATCAACATTCTATCATGAGAACAACTTTAAAAATACCTACATTTATCTGCATTAATGACAGGGCCACCAAACTGGAGAGGCTCCTTGCACCTGTTCTTTTCTCCCTTTGACATTATTAGTGTATTCTTTTGAAAAATCTGTCTTTATCATACAAATTCTATATCCAAAACCTTTATTGTCTCCCTGAATTTACAGGATAAAACTCAAGCTCTTAAACATTCACATTCTGTCTCTAATTTCTTTTCCAACTTGAAGCTTCAATAACTCTTCTTTCTACAAAGTTATCTCTAGCCATGTCTTTTGTTTTATTATTATTTACTGATTTATTTTTAGATAGGTGTCCTTGTGTTGCCCAGGCTGATCTCAACCTATGGGCTTAAGGGATTGTCTTGCATCCCCCTGTGGAGTGGCCAGGACTATAGGTGTAGCCACCACTACACCTGGCTTAATGATTTTTTTCACACAGTGTAGAGGATAGAACCCAGTGACTTATGTATGCTGGGCAAATGCTCTACTTCTGACCTATATCTCTAGCACCTCAGAAAAAGAAATGCCCAATTATTATTACTAATTTTATTATTGTTGTATTTATTGATAGAAACAAAAATACTTATTTTTTTGTCTAGTTGATCTATTTGTGGCAGTGGGGTATTAGGTCCCCTACTACTATTGTATTAGTGCATATATGACTTTTCATGTCTGTTAGTATTTGTTTGATATAGTTGAGTGAACTAGCGTTTAGTGCATAGATATGATTGTCATCTCTTCCTGTTGGATTGTTCCCTTTACAAGGATGTAGTGTCCTTTGTCTCTCTTAATCATTGTTGGCTTGTAATTCACTTGATCTGCCAAGAGGATACCTACGCCTGCTTTTTTTCAGGTTCCCGTTGCATGGAGTATTGTTTTCCACCCTTTAACTTTCAGTCTGTGAGTTTCTTTTTGAATTATGTGTGTTTCTTGTATGCGGCATATTGTTGGATCTTGCTTCTTGACCCATTCTTCCAGTCTATTTCTTTTGATTGGTGAATTGAGACCATTAATATTGATGGTCATAACTAATACGTATTGACTTATCATTGTCATGACTTTTTTCTTTTTGTTGGATTCTCCCCCTTTACATTTAATTTCTTGTCATGCGTGATGGATTCATTCTGTTGTGCTTCCTAGGGTTGTGATCCTCATTGTCTTTTCCTAGGATATTGTCTAAAATTTTTGGAATGTTGGTTTGGTATTCATGCAGTTCCTAAGGTGCTCTTTGTCATAAAAGTATCTTATTTCTCCATC